GGGGGGGGGGGGGGGGGGGGGGGGGGGGTACTCATAGTCGTGCACGCCGTAGGCGTGAAACTCTTGACCTCGCATCCCTACAAAGCCGGGGGGGGGAGAGGTCAGTTTCATGAATGCCAGGAAATTTCATGATGAGCCAAGAGGCCTTGCATCTCGACAAGGGGCTGGGACGGAGGGGGCACGTCAACAGGCAGGACAAGTCTCTCGAATGTTGATCGGGTAAGCACACCACACCGAGTTGTCAAAACGGAACCGGGCAGGCGTGTGTCCTTGTAGCAGCGAGTGTGAAGGAGCAAAGCAAGCACAGTGCTGTATGACGTGTGAGATCTCAGGGGAGCCAGAGGAAAAACGTCGGACCTTGAGGCGTAAAAACGAGAGTTCGGGCAACGTTGTGTCTTTTCATGAATAAGGAGGGTGTGGTGGTCGTACCCCTGGCCTACCGTAACCATGACACAAGATAACACGCACCCTAGACCGATTTTTCAAATATCGATTTCTCGACAGCAGATAGAGTTACAGCGCGGAAAAACGGTGGAGCTGAAGCTGTCTCGTCTGGAGCTTTTTGAAAATGTATTGTTTCATTTATGCATCCTCTTCATTGTGGCATAATCAAGCTTTGAAAATTGGTCCAGGGGGTGTATTATCTTGTGTCATATATACGGTATCCAAGTGACCAAATCGCATCACTGCAGAGAGGGGGGCGAGGGGCGGGGGCGACTACAAAAAACTGCGTGTCACAAGTCACAGCACCCAATCACCTTTCGTGCGACCTTGCGGGGGCCGTCATGTCAAGCCCCGTCGTGTCTGGGGTTAGCGCGAACACCGTCTTCGCCTTGACGAACGTGTCAGGTCTGCAACATAAGAATAACAACAGAACAGAACAATATTAGCAGAATAACGCAACAAGTTTGAGGGTAAGGTGAAGGTACAGAAGGACGCAATAGATTACAATAAGGCTAGGGTATGCAACAAATAAGGAGGGCAGAANGGGGGGGGGGGGGGGGGGGGGGGGGGGGGGGGGGGGGGGGGGGGGGGGGGGGGGGGGGGGGGCGTGCTCGGTTCATGCTTGCAACTTCGTCCGCGGAAGAAGTCGAAGTAGAATACAGTCCTCCCTCGGGTAAGGTCCTTAACTGAGGGATGACTGACTGCTGTACTTGTATTCTAGGCAGCCTCTTTTACGGAGAAATTGGCCGGAGATTTGGCGTCAGGGTTGGTATCTACCGGGGTGCGACGACAAAAAAAAAAAAAATCGCGCGTTGGTACCAACTCTCCGATCATCACTACATAATACTACTACATGGGATAGCAGCGATACCAATCCACTTGCATGTGTGTTGTGTTTGGTTTGTGTATTTAATTTTTTCAGTATTGTGTGTATTGGTTGTTTTTGCGTATTGCTTTTTTGTATTTTTCAGTTTTGGGGACGCAGTGTTGTGTATGTGGCTCACCGCAAGAAATTGGCGTCCGACTTCTTGGTGACGTGGAGCATGCTGCGGTTGCGCTTGGCTGCTATGCACGCATCGAAGAAGACAACGTCTAGGTCGTACGTTTCCGGCTGAATGCGCGCATCGATGAAGTTCTGAAACGCCTGTTTTTGGTGCGGAAGGGATTGGCCCCGTACACATGTGAAGGGGCGGGACGGAGCAAAAAAAAAGGTACAAGGAGAGAGAATTCAGCAGGGGCAAAAAAAGGTACCATGAGGTCTTGGGTGGAGAAGCCAAGCCGCAAAAACCAAGAGGAGAACTGATTGTATTCCGAATTTTGTACCGTATGTTTGTCTCACACCCCACGTCAAGACAGAAATGATTATGCAGGTTAACACAAGATTTTCCTCCGCATTTTGTAACCGTATGTTCGGCTCACACACCACGTGTGAAGGCAGAACAGGTTATAAAGGGCAAAACAAGATTTTCCTACGCATTATGTAACCGTATGCTCGTCTCACACACCACGTGTGAAGGCAGAAAAACTATGCAGGGCAAAACAAGAGGATAATATATTTTTCCTCCGCGCCATGTGACCGTGTACTTGCATCACATATCACGTCAAGGACAGAAAATATGACGCACGAGCTTTTGGCGACACCGCGCTTTCTTCACCTCACCTGTGTGACGCACAACTTCTCTGCAAATGGTCTCGAGTCCCGGTCCAGCTTGTCGAGGTAGTCGTCCACGTTGAACAGCCTTGCGGGGTTGGGGTTGGCTTTCGTGGGGTACACCAGGCACCGCCGGTAGCCGGACAGAAACGTCACGAAAAAACGCAAGAACGCCTCCCTACACAAAAAAAACGAAACGAAACGCGAAAAAGAAAAAAAACGGCAGGCATACGCATCATCATTGGGTGCATTGAGGGAATTAGGACCACAGACAATCAACAGCTTAGGTGAGGGTGAGAACAAGACACGGGTTGCGGGGGGGGGGCGGGGGGAGTCGAATCGCGGTACTAGTCCCAGGTTCTTCGTACGCAAGAACCGCGCCCCAATAAATGGAAAGGCGAGTGGGTTGACTGCGTCGTTGTTCTGACGTGTGTCGACTCGAAGAGCTCAGCGCACCTCACCGAACCAAAAAGAAGAAGAGGAAAAAAAATGTACTTACAGCATACAGCATCTGCATGTCGTCTTTCTCGCACGTACACTCCCGCAGGCACCGACATCTTTTCATTGGTCAACCGCTAGCGCGATCAATGCTAAGACCAACACAACACACACTTACCGGACGGCATCCCAGTCGGGAGGTGGCGTATCCAGCTCATCGTCGTCGAAGTCGCAAGGCCTGATGGCCATCGGAAACGCCAAATCGCTCTTCTGCATCACGTCTTGTCGGTATGCTGAGGTTAGTGCGATCCCATTCGGGGTAGTGGCAAGCGTCACGGAGGAGGGGGGAGAGGGGCGTGAGAATCATCACAAAACTTGCTAACGAATGGTGTGCGCTTCCGGCCAGGTTCCGTGACGAAAGGAGGTAAAATCATTACATGCAGTACCTGTGCATCGGTGCCATGTGCCATGTTGGCATAGCACGTGCGGCACATGCGGGGGGGGGGGGG